TTTTTTTATTATCTGTGTTTTTTTGTTCACTGACTGTCATTCTGTTACACTGTGGAAGCTTCTGTCACGAAAACAAATTCCTCGTATGTGTAAACATACCTGGCAATAAAGCTCATTCTGATTCTGATTCTGATTCTGAATATAACATAATCTGCCTCTTCGTTTATTGATTTATAAGTATTTTGGACATGAATATCAGTAGTTGGTGGGTTAATTAAGGTAATACTGTTCTATTAATACTGTTTACTAACAGTGTGTTCTGTTTCTCACAGATAATGTTTTGAATATTTTTCTGACTGCTATGAAAAAAACAGTTATTGCTAACAAACTAACCAGATGAAAGCTGTAGGGATGGGAAATAATAGAGTATAGGCCTAGGTCTCATTGCACAGCTGACATTTATGGTTTTATCAGGTTAAGAGCGTAAACGATTCAAATCCTGGTTTGATAACGCCCAAGTAATCACACACTGTTTTTTCACCAAACGGTGTTATATGAAATAACATTTATTCTCATTACAATATTATTAAGACAGTCACCTGCAACAACACTGCACTTGTGGAGGTAGGTTCTTGATAACTCGGAGACGGTTTTCTTTCAGGAAACAAAATTCCCACAGTGTCACCTTCAATATTCATGTGCATAAGCAAAGGTTTGCTTTTTCCAAGATCCCTGATCTGCTTTCAGATTAGGAGGGTGTGTAAGGATAAGAGAAAATTTGCACCGGTGGTTGAAGCAAGGTTTCGTCTTAATCAATTATTCACTTTGAATACAAATGCTTAGTTTAGCTACAGCAGGGCCTCTTTAATACTAATGACGCATTTAGTCATATGTTGTGCTTCCTGCGAATTCTGGGACAAACCCAGATTGTACGGTGAATTGACAAAAGGGAAATTTTCTTAGAAAAAATGGCAATTGTAAGTAAATGGTTGAGCTCATATGATTTATACAAAGCCCATTAAATAATCACTAACTTAAATGAAAAAGAAACTACAAAGCCTTTAAACTAAATCAAAATAACATTTATAATTATTACATTGATTCTTTAAGTTGTTTTGATAGAGATGGGTATTTTATAGTCTCCCTTCATGATCATGGCCATGACCCTTGTATTGAACAGGGGTCTAAGCCCCCCACAGTGTTACAGTTACTCATTCACTCTGAACACAGTGTCTTCTGAGGCCACATGCCATCTCGGTTGTTCAAAAGGTGAAAAAACTGTCATTATGGACATATACATGCAGATAAGACACATTAGTGTATCAAGGGTTCAACCAGCAAAGCGATAACATTTCCCTGACACGCTAATCAAATCAGTGTAGTTTTGATGTGGCACTAACTGTTCAGAAAAACAAAACCTTTCATCAACAAGAGTACAAAGTATAGCAAGGTTGGCCACTAAAATACTGTAGTACTTATCAGTTAAATTTAAACTTTCCAAATACAAAACATATTCCAAAAAGTTATTTGCATGTTATTTTAAAGACAAAATCTCTACTGAATGTTAGTGCACTCAACATTAAATCTCAGATGCATGAAAAATACACACTATACTATTCAAAGTTTGGGTTGTTTGTACAAAGATTTCTTTTCAAGAATACTTGATGAATAGAAAGTTCAAAAGAACAGCATTTATTTTAAATAGAAATGTAAAAATGTAAAAGTTACTATCACTTTGGATCAATTTAATGGGTCCTTGAATAAAAGTATTAATTTCTTTAAAAAAAAAAGAAATGAATGAATAAATAAATAAAAATCTTACTAAATTAACAATGTTCACTTCAAAACAGTTCACTTTTCTTTTTCTAGAATAATGTGTTTTGTGAGAGGTACAGCAATTATTTTGAGATATTTAAAATACATTCCTACAAAGAACATATTTTAAACACCACAATTATATTTTTTGTAATAAGTAAATCAAGACACTGTATTAAATACTAACATGAGTTTCTTAAAATTCTGCAGAAGGCTATGGATGCTGGGTTTTGCACCATTTTCAGAAAATGAATAGGCACTAGATGGCAGTGTTACATTGTTCTCTTATTATTTAGGCCTGCAAATCACTGTTTATCTGTTTATCTAAATGGTTCAGCCTTGTTTTTCTCCCTGGAGCAACAACGTGTTGGTTTCATTTGGTAAAATAACTATTATGCTGATGTTCGTTGATGCAAATGATAGACAGCGAAACGAATGACAACAAAGAAAGACATTGTTGATACATATAATGCCATTCTATCTTTTAGATAAATAGGCTACTATTTAAACCCTAACTTTCTGAATTGAAGTTAAGGTAGTTCATATGACACAGTCAAGTGACAAAATCCTATTTAAAAGGTCAAAACAGCCAAGAGACGTAGTTTTACCATGCTTCACTAGATCCGCCCACTCACCTTTATAGGGAAATAATCTCTCATATACTCCCATACGCGCATTCGACACAGAAAGGGCACTTTTCTACCTCCTCGTGAAGGTGTGTCCCAATCGATGTACCACCAGATGGCATAAAGCACGCTGATTAGCCAGAAACGAGTGAAGAGTAGCAAGAGGAACAGTATAATACAGATGGGGGCTGCAAAAATGATAACAAACACATAGATGCATTACACACAAATGCACAGACTGAAAGAAAACACATCAGCACAAATACATTTACAGTCAGGATCTTTCCAACTGAAGACTTTGACCTGGAGGTTTCAACCTATCTTTGTGCTTTGATAAAGGCCCACATACAGTAGTAATAGACAGAACAAAAAACATTTGCTAGAACATGTTTTCCTGCTTTTTTTTAAAACATAGTGATGTGTTTTCTAGAAAGAGGCATTTGTATGAGGTTATATTCTTTTATTACCTTTAAAACATGAGAGCCAGTAAAGCTGCAATATCTTTCTTAAATTAAAAACACTTTATGCAAGCCTGTAAAAGGTATTATATTGGGTACCTCTTTAAGTTGTGTGAAGTTTGACTTTAAGTATATGTAATTTAACTTAAAATGCAGTGTCTATTGCATGTGTAAGAGACAGAATACAGACTGTGACTATAGATCTCATTCAAGGTCAACACTTGATGACTTTGCAAAGAGACTATAATAAAAGCACATGCACTTACCGAGCGCCAGGAAAGAGAAGACCCACTGCAGTACGACAGCAGTCTGGATCCTCCTAACCAGAGGCACATCAGCCGGAGCAAAACAAATCTTCATGTCTAAACCAGAAGACAGCAAGAGTCGGCGAGTGGCCGAGAGATCAGCACAGTGCTAGGATTTCCACTCTGAGGTCAAAGTCTGACACCATGTCTTGGTCTGCTCCCCTCCTCCTTTCATCAGCTACCTTATCTGATAAATTCACTGCAAGTGATAGGATTATAGACCAAGAGTACCCTGATATTACACCAATGAGACTTTTGACCCCGGAGACAAAGGGCTGTGCAAAATTAGGCCTTACAATATGTGCATGAAAATAGGGGATTTATGGGGAAAAGGAGCTGAAATGCATAATGTTATTTTAAATTATATATCTGTATATGTATGTATGCATGAATATTTATGTGTGTGTGTGTGTGTGTGTGTGTGTGTGTTCATTCAAATAATCTACATCGAAATTGTTTATTTGTTTAGCATGAGGATTATTTATGTTTTTTAAATTTGTGAAATCCATTATTATTAAAATAAAATTCATTATTAATATTATTAAATATGAATATTTGGTCATGTATAAAACATGATAAAATGTCAAGAATGTTAATAAACTTTTTAAAATTATATATATAGGTAATAAATGCTTTTGAACTTTCTATTCTTTCTGTACTTTCTATAGCAAATAATCATTAAAGAAATAATGATTTTCAATATTGATAATAATACGTTTCTTGAGCACCAAATCAGCATATTAAATACATCTATGTAATTACTGCTGGAAATTCAGCTTTGCCATCATAGAAATAAATGACATTTTAATATATATATATATATACAGGTGCATCTCAATAAATTAGAATGTCGTGGAAAAGTTCATTTATTTCAGTAATTCAACTCAAATTGTGAAACTCGTGTATTAAATAAAGCAGAAGGAGACCCTACCAAGTTATTGAGTACATGTACAGTAAATGAACATACTTTCCAGAAGGCCAACAATTCATTAAAAATGTTTTTTTTTATTGGTCTTATGGAGTATTCTAATTTGTTGAGATAGTGAGTTGGTGGGTTTTTGTTAAATGTGAGCCAAAATCATCACAATTAAAAGAACCAAAGACTTAAACTACTTCAGTCTGTGTTCATTGAATTTATTTAATACACGAGTTTCACAATTTGAGTTGAATTACTGAAATAAATGAACTTTTCCACGACATTCTAATTTATTGAGATGCACCTGTATATATATATATATAAAAAAGTTATTTTCACTTGTAATAATACTTCACAAAATTACAGTTTTTTTAAGAACCAGGATTCCCTTCAGACTTTGATATATGAGGAAGCCTCATTTTAAAAGAGTGATGATCATGTATGGACATTTTTATAATTAACATGTCATTATGTCAAATTCTAGAATATTCTGTCAGCAGGGTCGGATTGACCTCTTATCATGACATAGGCAAAACAAATGTTTGGGCCCCCCTTCCCTATTAATATATAACATTATAACCCCAGCAAACAAAAATATTTCGTAATCAGTGGAAACCATTACAGCGTTTTCTATCGCAATAAGCGCTTGAGTTCAGTCATCAAATGTAGTTCTTAATTTGTTTTAGAACGGAGAAAGAACGTTCCATTAATAGGCTCTGGCGTCGTGGTCATTACCACTTCGGGGCGTGCATTGTTTCTTAATTTTAAGGCCTGGAGTCACAACCTCAAGACACTGTTCAGATGATTATTCATTTCAACACATTTTTCATGTTTCCATCCTGAAATCTCGTGTGTGTTGAATTAATTTCTTATGCACCACATAAACCTTCAGTAGCAAATTCCAAAACGTCATTTTAGAGCTAATAACAGAGTCTTGAGCCATTGATATGCAGTCTAATGCAGTTATAGAGCGAGATTAAGCGCGTGATTAGTCTGTGCGTTGCAGCAGTGTTCAGCAGCAGCATCTACTAATAGCGAAACTTTAAGTTAAACTGCTTCAAGAACCTCCATACTGAGAAATGTCATGTAGCTTTTCAGATGCGAAACTATTTTATCGATAAATTCGCGGAGCAGACAACAGACAAGTTTCTGTCCACCTCTCGGCGTGTGTGTGTGTGTGTGTGTGTGCGTGTATGTAGGCCACTGTGTGTGTGTGTGTCTGTGAGAGAGAATGGAAGAAAGCACGATTTCCGTTCATAAAAAAGGTGGAAAACACGGAAATAGTCATTTTTTTTAACCTATTGTTTGTTATATTTATTTGCTCAATGTCTTCTGGTGTTTTGGTTCTTTACTGTTGTAGACAGGCCATATTATAACAAAAATATTATATATCTCTTCATTGTTTGGGCCCCCCTGGACGAGCGAAGACGTGCCTAGAATGCCTATGCGTAAATCCGGCCCTGTCTGTCAGGAATTGCTGTTTTTAGAAAAAACCATACAAAATAATCATTCACTCTTACTGTTATTGTAATTGAAACATGTGAAATTATAGAATTTAAGTGTCTATATTTATTTAAATTGCCACACATAATGTAATTATATAAAATTATATATAATATATTTAAACTGATTTAAACAGTTTTCACTGTTTTTTTAATCAGATAAAAACTGCCTTGGTGAGCATAAGAGACTTCTTTCAAAAACTTCAAAACTATATAGCCTATATATAGAGAATAATTATACTATATGTATTTTTTTCAAGTGTTACTTGAACAAATATTCATATTTAATAATAATTAATCCTGTTTTTATAATGTATTTCACAATAAAAAAAACTTTACAGTGGAAAGCCACGTGAACACAAATGAACGATTTTTAAAATGGTTAATTCTGCATCTGCAGTTCATTATCGGTAAGTATGTTTGAACTCTTTTGAGCATCCCTCCTGATTTGATATCCTCAGGACTCTACTTTAGTGGGCGGGGACTCGAGTGCAACTCCACCCACTGCAGACGCTGCGTGATGATGACAGCGGCAGGTGATGCAGCTCTCGGTGGATGCTGAGCGCAGAAGGCGCGCGGGAGGGGCTGCTGTGTCTTAACACATTCTCGTATTCTAACGAGCGCAAGGGGATCAGGACGGAGCTAAACCAGAATATATTTCACTTTTAAAAAACCCGTAATGCCTCTTTTACACTGGATTTGTGTCCTGTCATCTTTGACAGCATCGTTTTAAGGGAAAACTTTGCGAATCTGACATTTTGTGTTCCCCCCGCGAGGCACAAGAGCGCGTTTAGTTCCACAAACTGAATACAAAACAGCTTTGAGAAAAGGAAGAGATTGACATAACTTAAGGTAAGACTTTGGCAGACCATCATGGCATGGCCCTGTATCTCCAGAGCCTGCTGTATGGCTCGGTTCTGGAACCAGCTGGACAAGGCCGACATTGCGGTCCCGCTGGTTTTCACCAAGTACTCAGACGTGTCCGAGATGCAGCATCTTCACCTGCAGCAGCCCGCGCCGAAGGAAACGCAGCCGCTTCACAACGACCACGACGCGGTGACCAAAGGACCTGCAGCCCAGGAGGAGAACGTCTTAGGATCTGTGATGCGCCAGGACTTTAAACACTGGAATGTTCGCCCGGAGCCCAGCTGCAAGCCCAAGAACGAGTACCACGGCCCCGAGGTTCCTTTTAACAACGAGACCCAGTATCAGAAGGACTTCAAACCCTGGCCTATCCCAAAGAGGGGAGATCATCCTTGGATCCCCAAACCCTCTCCGACCATCTCAGCGGGCAATGACCGCATCCCTGACAGACCCAAACACTCCTCAGAGATGATGGACAATGGGGTGGAAAAGAGTGAGATTGCTGACAAGGTGCAAGAGAAGGAGATCCTGTCTAGTCAAAGGAAAAAGAGGCATGTCAAGAAAGCGACCAACAAAGCAGGCGTGAAGTTGGACGGGCAGATCGTGGGGGATGCCACCACTACAGAGGGTAAAGGGAGGGCAGCTGTGGATGCTTTCAACCGGCAGATCAAACAAGATGTCACCTCTGGCAGCTCCTACAGGTATGGCTGATTGATTATCAGTGAGTGATTGTACAGTAGTGGTTCGCAACCAGGGGTCCGGGACCCCCTCTGGGCCTCAGCAAACTTCCAAAGGGGCCTTAAGATGACTAAAATGATATAAAATAAGACAAAACAATTATTAAAATAAGCTAAAACAGCTAAAAAATTTAAATCTTATTTTAATTCACCCTATCAACAATGTCAACTTTCCACTATATTGGAAAGTTATGAGAAAGCCTAAATTTAAAAGTGTTTTAAAATTCTTGTAAATCCTGGAACAGTCATGAAAATTAATTAAATCTCAAAAAGTCATGGAAATTAAATGTTCTAGTTATGCCAATTTCTTGCAAATTTTTGTACGATTCAGATCAAACAAATCGTAACTCGTAAAATAGTCACTTTTTACTCTGAGATTGGGAGGTGGAAAGACAAAGCAAAACAGCATGCCAACACTTGACACAACATGAAGACACTGTTATAGATCTGAGCATCAATAGATGTGTAGAGGAGACCAAATGCCCCCACAATGAAAGTAAAACACAAATTGAGCAATTGTGCTAGCGAAATAATACTAAATAATATCTCTAAAAAAGGAAAAATGGTTTCAGTAAGGGTTAGTTTTAGGGTTAAGAGATATAAAATATCATTAGACCAGTATAAAAACAGATGGAAAGTGTATTGTGGAGTGAAAAAAAGGTATACAATGGAGGTCAGCTGTGGGTTAAATCTTGCATTTACTGCTGTACTAACACCTACAGATGGCAGGACATGCAGGGGGCTGGAGAGCGCTGGAGCAGAAGCTGTTTTTGGAAAAGGCTTTCATTTTTTTCAGGGTTAGTTTTAGGGCAAAGTAAGGCCAGCGAGTGCATTGTGGAATTCCCAGTTGTTAATAATCCATTTGTTGTGAAAGTGGTGCAAAATTGTCAAGTTTGTAAAATTCAGAGAGCAGTCTTTGGAGAGCACTCTTTTATTTTCCAGCTCTAGCATATAAAACAGCTTTTTCATTTGCTTTTATTTGTCTGTGTTTGTTCAAAACAGATGGAGCTGAAGTTTGTATAGTGCTGTGCTGTTCCTGGTCCTACCTGGTATTCAGTTGCCTTTCAATCACTTTTTTATTGCAAACAGTGAACAATAAATGTGTAAAGAAAGAACATTCTCCCTCTTCTCAAAATTGCTTTCTCAATCTCAATTCACAAGTCCGTCATTGTCATTGTGGAGTATTTGTGTTTAATTGACAGGTGGCAATTGGTCCATAATTCGCCCACTCATTCATGTGCGCTTGCAAATTACTCATGCGCAGCTGAACAAGATTGAGCTTTTTGATACTGTACAATTGTGATAAACTGCCTGTGGTGTTGCACATTTGCAGGTTGCTTTGGATAAATATTTTACATTTAGCCTGAATTGCATTTGAATGTTGCCTTCAGACTTGCATATATTAGGCTGGTGTTATTTGTTGTGTGAGGAGTTTAATCTCAAAATGCCTCATGGTGCATCAGGGCACATTTCATATTTCCTGTGTGGAATTTTTTTCATCTTGACTAGGAGGAAAATACACAAGAGGACAAAGCACAGTGTCATCAGTTCAGTTTGCATGACAGTGCATGCATGGATTGTTATGGGGCGATTCTTTAAATGGAAAAGCTCAGGATTAGTTTGACTTAATCTCAGGTTTAGTCCTGAGTTTTGCTTTGTTGCTAAGTCTATAAAAAAATTAGGCTATGCTATGCTACAAAGCAGTGACAGGGCTTAAGCTTTATGACACAAGCTGATGAAACTGGATATAAAAAAATTATCCTCTTACTGTAAGAAGCATTCTTTGGTGCTTTATTTTAAGCCAGAAAAATCACAGGTGTGTCTTCACAGGATGTGGTAGAGAGGAAGTTGCTTGCTTCATTTATCTGTGTCTCTCGCTCTCTCTCTCCCTGTAGATCAATATGCTTTGGTTTGCAGTTTATCTCAGATTTTTCTGCGCAAAATCTTGGAATAGCTTATTGATTTTTGCAATTTAAGTGTTTAGCATTTATTTTATATTTATTAATTATTTTAGGGTTGTTATTTGTGCATTGTTGACTTTAAAATAGAACACCATACCTCGGATTCATGGTTATTGCTAACTAAAACTAATAATAGGCTGGTGAGCTCCGAATAATTAGGAATAAACCTTCTATAATATCCCGCCAGCCCCAGGAACTGTCTCACCTCCTTTTTGGTCTTGGGTCTTGGGCAGGCCGCAATCGCCGCCGTCTTGTCAATTTGGGGACGCACCTGCCCATGACCCAAGTGGAAGCCCAGATACCGTACCTCCACACGCCGAATTGCACACTTCCGCGGGTTCGCCGTGAGTCCAGCCGCCCTCAGGGCCCTCAGGACCGCGCGCAGATGTTCCATATGCCGCTGCCAATCATTACTGTGTATAATAATGTCGTCGAGATAGGCAGCGGCATACGCGCTATGTGGCCGGAGGATCTTGTCCATGAGACGCTGAAAGGTGAACAAGAGCCCTCCCTGGGCTGAACTGGGGATCCGGAGCCCTCCCTGGGCTTAACGGGGAAACAGGAGCCCTCCCTGGGCTTAACGGGGAAACAGGAGCCCTCCCTGGGCTTAACGGGGAAACAGGAGGCCTCCCTGGGCTTAACGGGGAAACAGGAGGCCTCCCTGGGCTTAACGGGAAATCAGGAGCCCTTCCTGTGCTTAACGGGGAATCAGGAGCCCTTCCTGGGCTATACTCGGGACCGGGCTGAACTGGGGAATCAGGAGCCCTTCCCGGGCTGAACTGGGGAATCAGGAGCCCTTTCCGGGCTGAACTGGGGAATCAGGAGCCCTTCCCGGGCTGAACTGGGGAATCAGGAGCCCTTCTGAACTGGGGAATCAGGAGCCCTTCCCGGGCTGAACTGGGGAATCAGGAGCCCTTCCTGGGCCGAACTGGGGAATCAGGAGCCCTTCCTGGGCCGAACTGGGGATCAGGAGCCCTTCCTGGGCCGAACTGGGGATCAGGAGCCCTTGCTGGGCCGAACTGGGGACCAGGAGTCCTCCGTGGGCCACACTCGGGAACAGGAGCCCTTCCTTGGCTGAACTGGGGATCAGGAGCCCTCCGTGGGACACACTCGGGAACAGGAGCCCTTCCTGGGCTGAACTGGGGATCAGGGTAGCGCTGACATGGTGCTGGCACTAGAGGGTGCTCTGGAGGAGCAGGCACAGCAAAGCGCTTTCGAGGAGCTGGCACTGGAGTGAGTCTTGGGACTGGAACAGACACTAGAGTGAGCTCTGGAAGGCGCTTACGAGGAGCAGGCACTGGGGCTGGAACCGACACTGGGGCCTCATGAACGTATGGCGGGCTTGCCATATTA